CCCCAAAACCCCAAAACCCCAAAACCCCAAAACCCCATTTATTCTGCGCATAATCTATTAAAAACAATTTAAAAAACTATCATGGAAATAAAGATATTTGAGGACCCTGAATCCATTTCAAGCGTGGCTGACTCAGAACAAGCAGTAAACTGACTGAAGGATATTCTGTTCGGACAATCACTCACAGACGACGAAGTTGGTAAGTCGTGCACAAAGAGCGTTAGTCAGGCTAAAGGCTTAATTTTCAACATTCTTTGCGTTAGAATTTACCGGGACAAACCCGCCTTGATCCACATTGGGTACTAAGCAGTGAACAACGTTGATATAGACTACTACTGGATTCCAAGAATATTCGACTCACCAGTTAGCATACTCTCCTTCTTGGAGCAATAATACGCAACAAACAAGGATCGTGTTATAGTCAGTACGCGGAAATAAATTGGTTGAAGTCATCTCAGAGTACATCGAGGTAAAACATACCAAGGTTTATCCGTACCTCGAGGTAATCATCGTAAGTCCTGACTTGTGATCTCTAGAACACTTGCTTGAGACAATTCTCAGGAGACTGCAGCACGCTAGTGAAGGAAGCAGCACTCCACCCAGTCATCCAGATCATGAGAGCTTACGAGCCAGAGCAGATAAAAGATTACATCGATCCCGCAAAGCTGATCAAAATCATGCTGGATGAAATCAAGCTTCAGGCTCTTGGAGCTACCCTAAAAGCTACGATTTGGGAAGTTGTAGGATGGCTTCACAAGCTGTTTCCAAATGAGACTCTTCTCTACAGGCCTGAAACCCAAGATGTCATGATGAGCACCCTCATCGAGCTAGTAGAGTCTGCGAAATTCGAGATAAAGCATATGTGAGGACTGCTCAGAGGATTCACCCTTGGTCTCCATGACTGCGTACTGTAAGATACTTTCTGCATCTTCAAACACAACTTTGTATAGTGAGCCAGATAAGCTACTCAGGCTATTCCAAATTGCAAAAGTGTTTATCGAGCCCAGAAAAGAGCTAAGCTCTGTTAGAATTCAAGTCGAGGCAATGACTCTTATCTCTACCCACAGCGCCTTGTTTAAAGACGACCTCAGAAAACAAGCAACAGAGATCATCAATATGTAAGTCTCCAGAGTCAATTTTAGGGCTCTAAATATTGGCACAAAGCAGGCCAATCAGGATGTCAGAGAGGCCTCTGGTGAACTCCTTGCCCAAGTTGCTGCTCAAGTTGCAGACTTCGACGATGAGGATGAGGACTCCAAAGAGACTGCCAAGGAGGTTATAGACCTTCTCACCCAGGTATGGAATGAACAGAACGAGCACAGTCTCAAAATCGAGCCAACCGTGAAAGCAGGTAAGCAGCACAAATTTCAAAATGAATCATGAAATAGTTGGAATCTTATCGAAAGGGATCAGATCTATCCTAGGAGAAGACACCCTCAGAATTTACCTTGAAAAACTTATGTTTGTTGAGATGAACACCTACCGAATAGTCGAGTAACCATTGCTTATAAACTTTAGGGAGTTTGGCGACCTCTCCAATCCTGAGACAGAGGTCAAGAAGTTCAAAGTTATTCTGAAGAAGCAAAAGCAAATGATTTCAATCTTGGGAAGCTACGCTCACTTTGTCACCAATATGGATCTGCCTCCTGGGGAAAGAGAATGCCAGCACTTCTTTGACCTTGCACTGACCGCTACAAGGAACTTCAGGAAGCTGTATGTAAAGTGGAGGCCGAGATTCCTGGAAGCCTTAGCTTCTCTCATAATGGCTCTGCATAAACACCAAGCTATGTTCATTCATTGGATTGCCAAATTTGTCAAGCAAGCTATTGGAGACATCATCACATCCCACGCAGGAGCCACTCAAGCAGAGCTCGAAGAATCTCTTGACGACAGTGTTCACTTTTGGAAGGGACTGATCGAAGCAACAAAAGAAATCAATGAGCCAACTTGAGTGCATGTATACGATGCTCTGCTCAACACTCTAATTGGCTATTTCCCGAGTGTTATTGGTGGAGACAACGTAGTCCTCAATGCAACAGAATATGACAAACACTCAAACGCTTTTCTGTCAAGACTGACAGATTTCATGATCCTGCTCCTTCCCAACTGTGAAAGCCAGTGGTTTGCGAGGTGGTACCCCAACTGAGTGCTCCAGATTCAAAAATTAATGAGGACGCATGAAAGCTCAAAGATATACTTGCTCATGGTGGTACCTCTACTCACAGTTAGTGTAGAAGATCTCACCAGCCCCAAAAACCACCAGATTTCGCCAATTATCCAAAGATGGATAACAACAACAGCTCTGCCTCAGCTCGGAGATTACAAATCTGGCTTCCTAACTATAGGCACTTCTGAACGGAACAAACACATTTTGCTAGACTTCGTTGAAAAGGTCGGCCAACTCTCCAAAAGTAGGATCGTCAATAATTTCTTTTAGCTGAAAAATCCCGCAAAGAGATCTTCGAGTTCTTATTCTCCTTCATTGCCTCCAGCAAGGAGGGCGACTATGAACAAGATGATGAAAAGAAAAGGGAAGCCCATGGGGAACCTAATATAGACTTGCCCAACGCCCGCAAGGGAAGAGCCATGGCCATCAAGAAGCTCAGAGCTGCTAAACAAAATCTGACTCTAAGAAGTACGGAGAAGTCGTCATAGAGGCCCGGGCCATTGGCCTCCTTGGAAAACTCGGAGGCATCAACCATGGGGCCATTAAAGAAGACACACAAAATAACGAGATTTCTGAGAGGGAAAATATTATTGGAATAATCACCGAAAGGGTAGCCTCCATGGATATCGGCGTCAGCATCCAGGAGTTCGGCATCAGAGTCAAGCTCGACTCCATCTTGTCCAACATCATAGAAGCTGCTGAGTCTGATCTAGATTGAGAGAACAAGACTGAAGCTTGCAGTATCCTCAATTGTAAGACTCTTGATTATATTATAGCACTAACAACCCATTTCAAAGGCCTAAATTCTAAGGCGAAGCTACCTGAGTTGGAAGAGGGCTTATCTGCGTTCACAGCTCTTGCTGTAGAATTCTCAAGGTGGCATTCTGTCAATATTGATTTCGACAGTAAACATACAAAGGCCTTTCTCGAAGCCATCCAAGAAATGGCTTTTGCTAGCCATAACTACATGTCTCTTAAAATAGCTAGTAGATGCATAAGAGAGTACACAGTGACTCTCCTGGACACAAAATCTTGGAAAAGAGCAAACAGGATATGAAAAATAAACCTTCGCAATCTTCAGAGCCAGTCTTCCCACCCTGACGCTGCCAGAAGATATGCGTGCATTTACCATTTCAGGGAAATCCTCATGATCACGAAGAGCAGGAGGTTCCCTCTCTTCGAGTTCTGAATGACAGAAATAGCTCCTGTCTGATTCCAGAACCTTAGTCAACTGATCGTTGCAACTAGCTCTAAAAACACATTTGGCTCTGACTCGAAGCCCCAGAATAAGGCGGCTGAAGAACTCTGCATGCTCAGCGACCTCATAGTTGATAACATTGGCGACTTTGTAGAAGGGCTCAAGAACCACCACAAGGTCATAGATGTTGACGAAGAAGACGATGAACAGATCTCCGTAGTCCCTGCTTACACAGAGTTTGCTGAGTTTCTCCTGCAGAACAGCTTTAGTTCAGATCACCACTGCAGGCACCAGTCTCAGAGAGTCCTCCGAGCGCTTGGACTCGAGTTCTTTGTGGCAATCGCTCCAAGATTGGACAACTCAAACCAATCAGCTGGAATTGGCCTGGACGGGAGCTCTGAAATGGAGCCAGCCAGCTTGCCAGGCTGGATCATGAAACTTCTCAATAAGTGCAACCTTGTGATCAACAAGAAAATGGATGAGAGTCAAATTGAAATACTAAGAATGCTCTCTTCTAATGACCCTCAAGAAGCTGATGAGCATGAGTTCGAACAAAGTATGGAAACACTAATTCGTATAGGAGAGCAAATCAACACCATTAGCCATCTTACTGCACAACTCCAGGGAATTAACTGGCTGGTCTGTGATATGAAAGTTGATCTCCATGACCTCGTCAACGATGACCTCATGTTCAACATCTGTGAAGGAGTTCAATATTTGACACAGGTGGAGTCCCTGCAGAAGACTATGGAAGAACAGGTTGGTTCCAATGCTAATACTCTAGGTTGTTGATGATAAGATGGACAAGATAATTATAAAATGCCTCTATTTCAAACAACTGTATGGTCTCCTGACAGAATGAAGCAAAGATGCCAGACTATATGTAGACTTTGTCAGAAGAATTGACAAAGATGCTGGCTTCGACTCCTTTGCGCTGGCCATACAGATCCTCCTGATTCCTCACTCAATTGGACTTGACTTCACAAATGACAACGATGAGAAATATCTAGAGCAACTCATTGCAAACTGATGCGAATATATCTCGGTAGTAACCAGAGACAGAAAAGTGAGGTTACTAAGAGGCATCAAAACGGTCAAGGATAAGCATGACTATGTGGACCTCACCTTGATTGACCCAGAAGTTCCTGAAGAGTACTCAGCAAAGGTTCTGCTTCAACTATGCCAGGGACAACTCAAATTGGTACAAATAGAACGACATTGCCAGAAGCGACAATTATGGGACTTGTTGGTAAACCATTGGGTGAAGCACTTAGTCGCCTGCACTGAATTCTGGGTTGGGAATGACTCATCACCTGTGATCAATCTGAAAGGAAAGATCCTACTCAGCTTCCTTTGCGAACTCAAAATCCCTGGAGAGAAACTTGCACTTTGGCTCACAGACAAAAACTCAGGTTTCCATCAATGTGTTGACAGCCTTTGAAAGTACATCCATTCAAATTTGGAAGAAGTTGAGTACCTTGTAGCCAAGACTAATGAAATGCCGTCGATGCTCCCCCTCTGGGTGCCTATCTTGAACACTCTAGTCAGGGACTCAGAACATCCAAAAACAGTTCTGCTTCCATTGATCAACCGAATACCTATCGACTGGTGCAGCCCTGTAGAAGACAATGACGCAAAAGCTGACCAACTACGGACATACAGTGTCTTGGCTCATTACTGCAGGAAGGATGGACTTCTCGACCAGGAAGAATATCCTGAGTGCAGCAATATCTTGACACACTTCATCAACCAAATCAACGAATACAGCCGAGACAGACACCCAGTGTTTGTAAAGTTCGAGTGCCTTAACTTGATCGGAATCCTGTACAACTTGAGATCTCCAATCAAGTCGCATGCCTCTGCAAAGTCAGCTGGCGGAGGAATCATTGGAGAGAGCCTCAGGCCGACGATCAACCGCATTCTGAACCAGTATTTCCCTTTGTGGTCTCACGAGATCCGGCCAGACACCAGAGAGAAGAGGCATTACGAGATGATCTTTGATGGAATGATCAACCTTATCACGTTCTCACAAAACCCTCATGCGTTGAGTCTGTTGTTCCGAGTAATCAAAGAAGATCGTACACTCCTTGAACGCAAACTCGAGCATGCAATTCATGTGATCGTCAAGAAGGGATTCAACAAGCTGCCGCTTGCCGATTTCCTTGTCAGAACCTCAGCCTTGTTCAGGGAATTCATTGATTTAGAAGAAGATGAAGACGCCTCAGTAAGCAAATCCCTGTAATAACTGTAGCCAAACCTTTCTGTCGAGAACAACCTCAAATTCGGAGTTGCTCGGAGATGCTTGCTGAAAATATTTAACACTTGTCCATTTGAACACCTCACTCCGCTTGTAAATGACCTCGCTCCGAAAATGATCAGAAGGCTCCAGAGTGACCTTGACACCAACAATGTTGAGAAGCTCATGTTCCAACTCAAAGAGAGGTAATTGCTCGATTTTGATTGTTTAGAGGATACATTTTCAGAATCTTCGAAAGCTGGACAACCCGAATCAGCCAGTCCTCTGCTAATGTCAGAGACTTCTACAACTCAATCAAGGTTGGAGGCAAAGAGCTCACCAAAGCTTTGATTAAGGCCTGCCACTATGGAGAGCTCGTAAACATTCCAAACCTTGCTGGTGATAAGCTTCAGACAGATGAACCAAAATCAGAGTGGGGAGATATAGTGAATTTCCACATTTGGGGATGCTGGATGTGCATAAACTCAGTCATTTCTCACACTCAGAGTAAGGAGTCTGTGTTCACTCACTTCTTGTTCACCTCCAAACCTGATCAGACGCCTATCTGGAATCTGTTAGTTCCAGAAACAATAGAGTACACATTCAGTGTTGAAACAGACTTCAAAGTCAAAGACTCCAGACTCGAGCAGCACTGGGAGCAAAACCAAGATGATGACATCATCAGACGCCTTAACGACAGCTTCTTTGTGAACGTAAGTCTCCCACTGACGCATAGGACAACATTCTAATGGCTGCACGAATGACCTCAAGTTCGAATGAAAATCCTCAAAGTCTCAAAAGAAAGCATGACAAAGTCAGAAAACTCTTTGACCAGACCGAAGGTATGGATGTAGAAGATCCCCAAGAATCTCCAGATAGCCAGAAATCTGAGTCTGAACAAGATGATCTCGAGCTCGACCCTCTGAACAGTCACCCTTGAATGCAGCCCGTTCTGAAGACGATTGACACGCTCAGCCATAATTTCAGCGAAACTTGGACGGATGACGAGATGCCAGGGTGGATGGCTTGACTCCGTGCTGACTACCCCAGACTGAACCGCTCTGCCAAGCTATTTGTGCTCAAACTGATCATAAACCGGCCTGAGGTGTTCGAGAGATACATGAATGAGTGGTTCAAGCCCTTGGCAGAGTATGCCCTTTCCAAAGATAGTGAAGGAAAAGGGATTTAACTATTTCCTCAGAGATATCTGAACGTGCTTGGTCTACTTTACACAGAATGTTGACATCCACACAGAAGAGAACAGCAAGTACTGCAACCAGATTATAAACCAGCTCATCAAGTATGCTGCTGACAAGAGGCGGGTCATTTTCGCCCACAACATTTCGATTATTGGCAGTCTTCTCGAGAAATGGAGGCCAGTTGTAGACTCCTTAGACGACAAAGTGCTTGCACAAATGCTTAGCATTAAGGATCCGAAAGTCCCAAACATTGACCTGTGGAAGATGAGTGCACTCCAAGTCATCGCTCTGTCGTCCAGACTGGGCATCAAGACCACCCTGTGCGACAAGATCATTGAGCAGCTCCAGTACAGAAAGAGAGCCATCGTCTTTGTTGCAGCAGAAGTCTTAGGAGTCGTTCTCTCTAAGCAGCAGGACCTTGTTGATGATGCCTGACGCAAGGTCTACACAATGTTTCTGGGGGAAGCAAAGCAAGACGTGTTTGTGAGTGTTTCTCAACAGATTTGTAAGTACCAACCATTGTTCGGAACTCAGAGCAAGATCTTGGAGAAGCTGATTAGGTATGTCAAGCCGTTCTCTTCTTCGTTCAGAGCAAGCATACTAGACACTTTCACCTATGTCATAAGGCAGTGTTTGGCTTGGCATGATGAAAGACGATCAAAGATGATCAAAGAGATATGAATGTGCTTACTTTCAAACCACGAGGATATAATCGCTGATAAAGACGATGAGTCCCAGCAAAGCTTCATAGTTCTTTTGAAAGAACTTGTCACTGTCGACACAAAAGCAAAAGAGAGTCTGTTCAAAGTAATCCTAGACTTCGACTCAAATTACAATATCCACTCTGTCATGAGAAACACCAGAAACAATCTGACCCGGGGAATTTACTATGACCTAATGATTGCTCTTTACGAAGATGGGCCTTACAAACTAATAGCATCAACTGCATTAATCAGAGGCCTTCAAGACCAGAACAAAGATATCAAATAAGAATTTGCTGCATTTCTGGTCTGACACTAGCAGGCTCTCTTCCAAGCCCTCAGAGAGACTTCTTGAGATGCTCAAATTCAAATCTGATTTCAATACGGACAAATATGGCTGCAATGAGCAGACGTGGCTCCAATGCACAGTCTGGCTCTTGCTTGACCTGATAAGACTCACGAAAGATACCCAAAAGACTTATGTGTAATTCCTTCTTTGATAGCCATAGCGAGAGTCCCGAAGCAGAAGACGCCTTAAAGAGGCTTGACTTAGAAGAATCCAAGCAAGACCCAAAATCTTCATTCCCTGGAGGGTCTTTGCGTGGCAGGAAGATGGCCAACCAAAGCTTCAGTCAGACACTCGGAATGTGTTCAAGCCTCCAAAATTCCAGATACTACAAGGTAATGCATAATCCTCAAATTTAGCCGTACCTAAAAGCTTCTTTGTTAGTGGCAACGCAAAGCCAGAAGAACGAGGACTCAGACCACAAAAGTCCCATAGATGCTTCCAAAGGAGTCGAAGGGGCAGGCTTGTCTCAACCTCTGACTCAGAATATGGACGCAAATCAGGCGGGCCCTGTCTAGCCCCCCTCTCCAACATTAGAAGAGGCAAGGGCAGTAAAGCTTCCAGAGACCTTGCCAAGTTCTTCCAAAGTAACGAAATATCTCGAAATGTCATTACGGTTGGCAGGAACGGGAGTGTGAGGTTTGGCCCTGATGGAGTCTTCCGTGCCACCAGTGCTGCCATCAAAGAAGTCAAGAAGAGACAGCAAGAGAAAGCTCAACTTGAAAGGAACAATGCAAGGAAGAAATTGATGAAGAAACTCAGAGAGCGATCAAGACCTCTTGATTCACAAGTAAGGTCTCAAACTGACAGCCAGCCCATCATGCCTTTGCAAGAAGGCGAAGACATTCTGCCTCCACTCCAATGTCTGGTTCTCCTAGATTGTGACCTTGCAAGCTCATTGTTCTGTGATCTATTCGGAGTGAACTTTCCGAACATATTTGCAAAGAGCCAAGCGGCTCATCAAGCACATATTGCCGAAGCTACCATCAAAATTTTGTCAGAAAGTGTCGCTTGTGACACTTCCGTAATGTCAAGTGTTCTGTTGATTCTCCTCAAAATATGCAAAGAATACCCAGATATAGACGCCAAAGCTATTGAAAGAGTTGGCACCAAAAGTCTCAACTTCGCAAAAGCAATTTTGCTTCTCGAAGAGCTGATTATCTGTAAAGGTAAACAAGCAAATGATGATCCAAGAAAAGCTGGCTCCAGTAAGCAAGAGGCCACCAAAGAATGGATATCGCTTAAGAGGCTTCATGAAGCATCAGGTACGTCTTTTTATTAAAGTGTTAGACTCCACTGGAAGCCAGAACCTCATGCTTGATGATTCCTTGCTCATCGAGGAAGACCCAGAAACTGGAGAATTTATTTTCAGCAGAAAGCTCAACAGTGAGATTACGAACAAAGCCGAAGTTGAGCGGCTTAGCCAAAAATACCTGAAACAGCTTGAAGAGTCCAAAGAATTTGGGATGTACACACGTAAGTATTCTCACTGATCTCTAGAGGAACTTGCAGATGAAATCAAGTTCAGCTATTATGAAGGCAAATCAGAGTTGTTGGAGTGGGAAGCCGTCTGTAAAGACCTCGAACCACATCTTTCTAAAGACAACCTCGATGCCTCTGTGGCCAAGACTCTCATAGACTCCTGCATAAGAGTTCCTGAATACAGTGGCAAGCTGCAGGTTTCAGTTGAGAGGTGGCTCCAGGATAAGCACACCAAGAACTACTTGGAGAGAGACCACAGCTATCAGCTTGCCTTGCTGTGCATACAGAGAGAAGACTACATGAGAGGCTTTTACTACATAAACAGGGACATCAAGGCTCTGAGTTTTGGAGTTCCTTCTCACGCCCAGCACCACATGATTCAAAAGCTGACGAAGAACTTTGAATGCAGGCAGTTCCTTGAGCTCATCACCAAAGTTGGCCTCTGAGATCAACACAAACTTGCCGCAGAGATCTTAGCCAGTGTTCAAGGTTGGATTCAGAGGCCTTACAGTCCGGTTTATGACCCTCTAAGCTTTTTGGATGATGTTGTGACCAGCAGAATTTGATATCTCGATAGTTATGAGCGCAAAATTGGTGGGTTCAGCGACAAGCTAGCTTCGGACCCAGAACTCTCAGAAATAAGGTCAAGAATCTACCTCCAAGCAGCGATTGGTGCTAGAGATATGGCTCTGTATGACTCTTCAGAGAAGTACCTGAGCAAGGCAGTAAAAGCTTGTGAAGACCTTCATTATTGCACTCCTCTGATTGTTGATCTCAAAATAAAGCAATACAGGAAGAAATATCTTAACGAAGATTACTACAAAATCTCGAAAGACTGAGCAAAACTTGCTCAGGTCATCAACAGGCAGAGGCCTGATGACACCAACAGCGTCGAGTCCAGCAGAAAAGGCATCCAGCAAATGCTCATGCTGGCTGACGTCTACCAGATGGGAATGGAACTCTTCATCCATAACGTCAAAGAAGGCTTTCTCAATGAAGACCAAGACCTGAAATACAAAGAAGCCATGCTCAACACATTAGAGACCTACAACAGCATTCTCCAAGAGAAAGAGTTTCCCGTAGACAACCACTTGCTTACAGAAGCCAATATGAAGCTGGCCCTTCTAGCAGATAGTCTCTTATCCTCAGAACACCAGATTGTAGCTGACACTATAAAGAGCAACAATATTGACAACTGATACCTTGCTTTGACCATCGTGAAGTGAGGATTTGCTGCACTGAATAGAGAAGCTCCTTCATCTTCCTCTTTAATCCCTCGGATACTCCAGGTTCTAAGCCTGTATCCTAAGCACTGCAAGGATGAGTTCAAAGAAGGATCAAAGAATACCCCTAGTTGGAAGTTCCTCGGATGGAAGAGCCAGATCCTTGCTTTGATAAACGAGCCGATAGTTTCAGATATTATTTCCAAAACAGTTGTGAACCTCTTCAAAAACTATCCACAAGCGCTGTTCTACGCCTTCAAGGTTGTAGAGTCAGACCTCTTGCTAAAGCTAGTAAGTGTGGATGAGTCCAAACTATACAAAGCATTGCAAAGGCACTGCCAAAGTGCCAACTCAGCCCTCAACTGCTTCGTAGAATCTCTAGATTGCTTAGTCGAGCCTGAATTTAGATGGAAATACTGGATAGATCTCATCAAAGAGGCCATGGGGCGAGGAGACCCCGACAGCAGATCTAAGGCAGCCCATTTCGCTAAGCTCATGATCTGAAACATCGCAACTGAAGAGCACAACTTTGTTGGTGCTAAAATAGGCCAAATTAATAGAGATTTCGCTAAGAAATATGCCAAAAAGATCATCAGAGCCTTCGGAGAGGATGGGAGCAAACTTTTGGGATACACCTACAATGACTTTGCTGATAGCATAAATTCCACATATGAAGAAATAAATAGAAGGTAAGATTTACTACTAATCTCTAGATTTGACAGTATTGAGAGTGGGTTAAATAAGCTATCCAACTTTTCAGAATGGCTTGCTTACAGCTACAGTTACTTTGACTACAAACAATATATCGAAATTCCAGGCCAATATGAACAAGATGAGGAACCTTATTTAGAAAATCATGTTAAAATAGCAGGTTTCAACAGGAACATTCTCACGCTCGGATCAATGAGGAAGCCAAAACGTCTCACAATCAATGGATCCAATGAAAAGGAATACAACTTGCTAGTCAAAGGTGGTGAGGATTTAAGACTCGACCAAAGAGTTCAGCAAGTCTTCAAGATAATGAACAAGTGCTTATCTGATAACCCAAACTGTCACAATAGGAATCTCAAAATATGCACTATCCAGGTTGTGCCTATCACTAATAGAGCAGGTGTTATTGAATGGATCAATAACACTACTCCATTAAAGGCTATGATTGAGGGCCAGATGGACGAAGGCATCTCCATCTCTAATTGCCGTGCCACTGCTGCAATGAGAAAATTCTTTAACAAAATTGCCCCAGATGAATCTATCCATGAGCAGCACATCGCAGCCCTTGAATGAAAGAGAGAAGTAGTTGTCCAAAACTACAAGAATGTTGTATCCAAATTAGGAAGATACCTTCTCAGAGAAGGATTGAAGAGTAAATGTAGTACACCTGAGATCTTCTTGTTCAGAAGAGCTAACTTCATCAGATCATATGCTTCCTTCTGTATTGGTAGTTATATCCTAGGAATAGGTGATAGACATCTTGAAAACTTCCTAGTCAGCCTAAACTCAGGAAGAGTGTACGGAATAGACTTTGGAATCGCATTTGATAGTGGAGTGCAACTCGGAGTCCCAGAACTGGCACCTTTCAGGCTGACTCCTCAAATTTCAGAGTTGATAAAGCCATATCACTTACATGGAGATATGAGGCATGCTCTCTCAGCGTTAAGAAACAACCAAAACTTGATATTGGATACTTGTGAAATCTTCATAAAAGAACCTTTACTTGAATGGGTCAAAGAAGCCCAGTCCCAAAACTTCGAAGTTGACAAGTATAAGGAAGAAGAACTAGGAAAGGCTAAAGACACAAAAGAAAAGATTGAGTGGTATCCTCAACTAAAGATCAATAGAATGAAAGAGAAATTGGAAGGCAGAAACAGCGCCAAAATCATAATGAAAGAACTTTCAAATTCTTCCCATGCCAAGAAGGAATATTTCCAACAGATCAAACTTGCACTTGTTGGTGTTAAAGGAGAGTACAGGTATGAAATCCTTAAGTCCAAGAAGAGGTTCCTAGATGTAGATGAGCAAGTGAACTTCTTAATCCACCATGCTGAAGATCCAGATATCTTAGGAAGACTCTGGATCGGATGGGCACCATATGTATAAATTTTGCAACAATAAATTCTTAGATAATATTTTCATAGGGGTTTTGGGGTTTTGGGGTTTTGGGGTTTTGGGG